ACTCTATGAGTATACCAAAGGCCAGTGAATCACACACTTTAAAAGGGCGAATTGTACAGTATATGAATCATATTTCAATAAAGCTGTTATTAAAAAAGGCATCACCAGAGATAGTTGTTTCATGAGTAATATAAAATAATTTTAAACAAATAAATAACTCTAGACTGTAAAAAGGCAGTATTAATAAAATCACAGGGAGAATGGAAAAAATGCACTGTGCTTATGAAAATTTCAACCACTCTCCTCAGTAATTGACAAAACAGGAAAAAACTGGAAGAAACGTAGAAGATTTCAGCGACAAAATGAACACACTTGACGTAAGGGCCAATGCACAAGATGGCAAACTATAGAATGCACGTTTATTTTAGACACACAAAGGGCATTTGTAAAACTGATCAAATACTGAGCTACAAGACAAATCAAAAAACATTTCATGACTCAAATCATACAAAGCCTATTTGTAAATGACAATACAAACAATCTAAAATCACTTGTTTTATTTATCAAACACTTACACACTGTTTATTATGGGCCAGGTGTTTTTCAAATTGCTTTACAAATATTCACTAAATTAATCCTTATCACAACTCTACGATGCAGGTGTTAATATTATCCTTATTTATAGTTAAGATTTGGTATTAATTATTTGTCCAAGATCACACATTTGGGATACAAAACCAGGCATTTGGGCTCTATTTCAGAGATCCTAACCACTGTATTATAATGCCTCTCGATAGCAAAGTAATAACTAGGAAAATCTCCTTGTGGATGGAAATTACAAAATATTCTTCTAAATGAATGATGGGTTCAATGAAAACTACAATTCAAATAAAACATTTTTATGTAAGTGACAAAAAATTGTGGAGAAACTAAAGTAGTATTTAAGGGACATTTATAGCCTCAAATTCTCATATTAGAAAAGAAGAATGGTTGATAACCAATGATGTAATTTCCTATCTTAAAAACATAGAAAGAAGAACATAAAATTAAAGCTTCTAAAGAAGTAGAAGCAGGGCAATAACAAAGATAGAAGAGAAATCAATGAAATGGAAAGCAGGTGTACAATAGAGGAACAAAGATAAAAACTGCTGCTTTCTGAAGAATAAGACTGATAAATCCTTAGCAAAATTGATCAAGACAAAAAGAGAGAAAATACAAATTACCAATATCAAGAACGAAAGGGGACATTACTACAGATCCCATGGACACTGAAAAGATAGTAAGAGAGTATCATGTTATATACACTAGTACATTTGGCAATTTAGACAAAATGGACAAATTTCAGAAAACAAACTTAGCAAAAGTGACCTAAAATGAATAAGAAAATCTGAATATGTCTTTACCTACTGAAGAAATTAAGGGGTACGCCTGGCATGTGACCGATCTCAGGGTCTTGAGTTTGAGCCCCATACTGGGTGTAAAGATTATAAATAAATAAACTTAAGAAAAAGAAATTAAAATCATCATTTAAAATCTTCCCATGAGAAAAACCTCAAACACATATGACCTCACTACAAAACACTTAAACAAGACAAAGCAACAGCTCACCTCGTAGCAACCTTTTCAGGCAACAGAAGAGAAACAACTTCCCACCTTATTCTAGAAATCATAATACTGATGTCAACACCTGACAACAATATTACAAGAAATGAAAGTTATAGGCCAATGTAGCTCATGAATGTAGAGTCAATGACCCTAAGTCTGTTTCCCTCACTCCAGGCTCAGTTCTAGGTCATCTCTTTTCACCGGGAAACCTTTCTCTAGGATTCTATCCACACATGTGGTTTCAAAGACTATCCTTACACAGATGACTTACATTCCCCCTTTAGTCCAGATCCTTCCCACTGACCCCATCCGCCTCTGTGTACCTCCACCCCCGCTCGCCTGCACAGCTAAAATGGCATCCTATATCGTCTCTCTATATCCAGTCTTGCCCTGGCCCCATCCATTCTCCCTATATCGTAATCAGGGCGATCTTTTCAAAATGCAAATCTTATTAGTCATTCTACCCCTGGAAATCATCCAATGACTTCCTTCCCTTTTTTGGATTAAAACAAACCTTGTCTATGCGGTCGCACCTCATTACACCCACTGCAATTTCCCTGCGTCATTTCAAACCACTTCCACCTTGGCCTCTTGATGGCAGCCACTCTGTCTCTTATCACCTGGCCCATGTTCCCTGCTCACAGTTTTTGTTTTGTTTTGTTTTTGTATATGCTATTCTCTACCCAGACACTGTCCTTCCTCCTCTTTGCCTTATTCCTCTTTCAGATCCTGCTACACCAAACCGGAATTTCCTAGTACATGCTCTCATCATACCTCCGATTTCATCACCTATCAAAACTGCAAGTTCGGGGCGCCTGGGTGGCTCAGTCAGCTAAGCGTCCGACTTCGACTCAGGTCATAATCACACGGTTTGTGGGTTCGAGCCCCGCATCAGGCTCTGTGTTGACAACTAGCTCAGAGCCTGGAGCCTGTTTCTGATTCTGTGTCTCCCTCTCTCTCTACCCTCCCCTGCTCATGCTGTCTCTCTCTCTCTCTCAGAAATAAATAAAACATTAAAAAAAAACCCCGCAAGTTCACATTTCATTCACGTAATGATTTGCTTACTGACTACCCCACTGGATATTAAACTCCCTGATAGCAAGGACCTATTTCTTCTCACCATTCTATCCCCAACAGCAAGGACTGCACCTAGCCTATAATAGATGCTCAATCAATCATCGGTTGCATTAATCAATCTTTTCCTGTAATCGTTACCCAAACCCAATTAATCTGTATTCAGTTAATGTGAAAATTTTTCAGTTTCAAAATCACAGTAGAAAAAAAGGAAAAATACAGATCTCTTTTATATAGGAGATTCATATCTCATTAAGTCAAGTATAGACGAAATGTTTTTCATTTGATTTTATCTCATTGACTTATTTTTCAATGAGTTCATAGGGTTTTTAATAACACCAAGTCTCTCTCCAGATTTCTGATACATCGAGTCTAGCCAAACATTTCTTCTTCTTCCTTCCATCACTATAGAACACAAAAAACTAAATGTGGAAAGCGGTGGTAGTTAAACATAGATTTAGTAAAGAAAGGAATCCTTCCATAATATAGATTATAATTTTTCAGTGGCTCTGTTATAAAAGTTGGAACTCAGTAAATGGAGTTTCTTGGAAGTAAGTATAACTGGGGAAGCAGAGAAAAGGAAAAGAGAAGGAAGGGGGCGCCTGGGTGGCTCAGTCGGTTAAGCGACCGACTTCAGCTCAGGTCATGATCTTGCGGTTTGTGGGTTCCAGCTCCGCATCAGTTCTGTGCTGACAGCTGAGAGCCTGGAGCCTGTTTCAGATTCTGTGTCTCCCTCTCTCTGCCCCTCTCCCAACTCATGCTCTGTCTTTGTCTCAAAAATAAATAAACTAGAAAAACAATTTTAAAAAAAGAAAGAAGGGAGAAACAGAGGCGCTTCTGGCAAGGGACAAGAAACGCTGCCGTGTGGCTGTTACACTCTCCTTGTGCAATGATATTTCTGCCTTCTAGTGCTAGGACCCACATCAAGCCAGATAGGCACAAAAAATGGATCACTATCCATTCAGCATTCCACTTAAGCAGTTACAGTATGGTGAAATGCTAAAGCCTCATGGACTGCAGAAACATTTCTTTACAACGAATTAAAGTTGGTACAATAGTATACATTGTTCAAAAGTTAATACTAACCCAATTTATTCTACTTGCATTCAGCTTCATGTTCATGACTCAACGTCAGGCAAAAAGAAAAAATACTATAGCAAAAAATTAACAATGGATTGACTGCTAAGAGGTATGGGGATTTGTTTCAGGGATAGAAATGTTCAGGAGTTAGTAGTGATGGTGGGCAACATAATTAATATACTAAAACCGCTGATGATAAATTTTTAAATGATAAATTTTACACGGACTGCATATCAATGAAAAAAAAACCCCAGCAGTTTTCAGGAGGAGCCTTCAATGTTAAAAGTGTTTTCTTTCCTAACACTCTGAGGATATGGAGACATAAGACATCCATCCTTAATTAGGAGCAAAGAGTTCTCCCAGCTGGCACTTAGGACAAAAGCACCAAAAATTCTAAGATAGTATCTGGAGGCTTTTTTCTTACTTTCCCCCTTTCCCTGACCACCATGCCTCTTTTCATCAAGTCCTCTCCTTTCACCGGAATATTGTTTACTAAAAAAGCAATGACGTAAAAAAAAAAAAATACACAAAGCATCCCAAATCAGCCAAAGGTTTTTCTTCTTCATCAATCCAATTTGTCCCAAGCTTGGATTTTCTAGAAACCGCTCATGGATGTGAGAACTGACTTCTTTCTTTTCAGATCCTCCTGCAGCAAGTCAACGGGGTTTTGTTCCAAAATGAAAACACAGCGGAATTTGCTTTTCGAAATTTAGCCCATGTAAGGCTCTGATCCTGCCAATTTAAGGGAAGCCCTCAAAGCTGAATTCAGGTTTAAAAAACAAACAAACAAACAAACAAACAAAGCGGGCCAATTCTCATAACCTGCAAGAATCTGTTCTCACCGATTTCACCAGCCTCGGGTCAAACGGCACCCTCACCTTGCACGCTCGGCTCCAGCCACTCTACCATTTATCCATCTCCCCTGCCACTCACAGGGCCTTTGCACATGCCACTTCCTCCCGGCAAGAAGACACTCTCCTCTCCCCCGCGCCTAGCTGATTCCTACTCCTCTTTCGGATCTTGGACCGAGCCATCCTAGATGGTAGTCTTCGCGGCCTTGCCGCCAGGAGCACACTTGACAGATGTCCGCAGAGGCGGGCACCCTAGACGTGACTTCGTGGAGACCTTCGGAAAGCTAGCGGCGGGCGTTCCCCGGTGCTCCGGGAGGGCTCGGGAGCCAGGGTGCAGGGGTGGGGGGCTGGGGCCAGGGGAGACGCGGCGAGTCCGGGCGGGGCGCAGGCTGGCCGGAGGGAGCACCCGGCGGGCGCCGCCTTGCCCTCCCGGAGCCGGCGCACACTCACCGTCCGCCCGCACGCAGAGGCGCCGCAGCCCCGGCGGCGGCAGCAGCAGCAGCAGCAGCGGCGCCGCCCAGAGCGGGGCGCGGGGGCCGCGTCCCTCGGCGGCCATGGTCGCGGGGGCTCCGGCGGCGGAGGCGGCTGCGCGGCCGCTGCCCCGCGTGTGCGCCGCTCGGCTGTGCGCGCTGCGCACTGCGCTCCGCTCGGCGGGCTGCGCGCCCCGCGCGCGGGAGGGAGGAGCGCGCGGAGCCAGGCGCGCGGGGGGCGCGTCCGAGGCGCCGGGAGACGGGGGGCGGCTGGACCTGGCGGCAGCCTCGGAACCCGGGCGCCGCCGGGGCGGAGGGCGAGGGCGCGGGGAGGCGGGGAGGGTGGAGAGCCGGCGGCCGGGAGCCCCCGCCTGCCCGGGGCGCCCTGGGCGCAGGGGTGGCGCGGTGAGAGGCCGGACCCCGCGGCACGACCGCTCGCGGCCGAATGCCTGCGTGTGTCCTGTGCCTGCGGACTGTGCCGCTGGCCGCCGCCCACAGAGGAGGACCCTGCGGGGGAAGGAGGGGGTAACGTGCCAGCCTCGCTCTCTGCCGGGACGCGCACGCGGCGGCGAGACTCCTCCTAAGAGCGGAGCTTGCAAGTCCCTCTGAAAGGGCATCCCCGGGACGCCTCCTCCGCGACGGCTCCAGGCGCGTCCTCGCCGCCCGCGCTGCTGTGCTCGTCGCCGTTTTCTCGCCTCCCCAAGTCGGGGCCTGAACTCGGATTCTGTTAGGGGAGGGGAATCCACACGCTGACGGGTCCTGCTGAGTTCCGCGGCAGGAGTCCGTGTCCGGGGCCCCCAGCGCACCCCCAGCCCAGCCTCCTGCACGAGCTCCACTCGGCGAGCGAGGGCGACCCCCGCGGCACCGGGCGCGTTACGGTCCCTTGGGCCCCCGCGTCCAGGCCGCAATGCGCGGTGCGCGCCCGCGGCGGGCCTGCCCCTGGGCTCGACCCTGTGGGAGGCTACAGTCCGTGCTAAAACCGCGCAGACTTCAGTGAGACACAGTCTTAAGGAGGATGGACAAGTGATTGGTGCTAAAAGAACACATGCTTGGCGCCACGACAATGCACCAGGGCGCAGATGCTGCAAGACTACCTGCTTTTTAAGGTGAAAAGGGGGCTTGGGGGCCCCGCGTGCTCAGCTGGTTAAGGGCTGACCCTTGACTTCAGCCGGTCATGGTCTCCTCGGTGGTGAGATCAAGCCTGGCGCTTGGCCCTGCACCGACCATGAGGAGCCTGCTTGGGGTTCTCTTTCCCTCTTTCTGGCCCTTCCTGGGTCATGTGGTCTCTCTCAAAATAAATCAACACTAAAAACACAGCAAAACCCACTGGGATTTGACCCCACATCTGACTTACTACAGGTTTCCAGCCCATGTAATTTTTGAAGTGTGCGGAAAAGATGTCTCCTCTCCTTGCTCTTCCCGGCATGTCAACTACAAGGCCATCATTAGCGATGAATTCCTTTCTGGAATTAAACTCTGCTTTTAAAATACGAACACTCTAGGGTGTTAAATGCACTCAGGCCTGACAATCATTCACAGGTAAGTGTAAATTAATTTACTTAGCCACTTCTCTTCTAACAGCTAGCTGGTAGCCGGAGGAGTGAAACTTCACATGTCTGGGTCGGAGACGACCTTTTAAAGCCTGATTATTGCGGAGAATGGAGGGGAGGGGCCAGGCGGTCCCTGCAGCCGCTAGTGGCTCACTTTCTCAGGAGCCTTGCCACCAATGTGTAGAATAGTCAATTGACCATTACTATCTAAACCTAATGACATTTTAAAGTTTGTCTTTTTTTCGGATCTGTCTTGGCTGGTCCTAATTTGGGGAGACGGCATGCTCTAAACATTAGAAAACCATTTGGCACTTTCATATAAAGTTAAATATACATCCCCCCTATAGCAAAGAATTCTGCTTCTAGATGCGTATCCAAAAGAAATAAAACTTATGTTCACACAAAAATTTGTGCACAAATTTCATAGCAGCTTTCTCCACAGTCATTACAGTTGGAAACAACCCAAACGTCATCAACAGATGAATAGAAACACAAGTTGTATCATCTTCACACCATAGAATACTATTTAGCAATCAAAGGAATCAAATACTGTCACATTCGAATATGTGGTTGCTGAGTGAAGGAAGCCTTACCCAGAGGAGTTTGTACTTTATGATTCCATTCATATGAAGCTCGAGAGGGGCAAAAGTAATCCGTGGTGACAATAAACACTGTGATTGCCTTTGTCAAGGTAGGAACGCAGAGAAACTTCTGACGAGGGGGAATGTTCTGTATCTTGATGACAGTAGTCGCATGAGTATATGCATTCATTTAAACTCACTAAACTCTACCCTTAAAATCTGTGCATTCTGTTGAATGTTTATACCTTCATAGCAAATACTTCAGTGGGGTGCCTGGGTGGCTCGGTCGCTTCAGTGCCCAACTTCGGCTCAGGTCATGATCTCACGGTTTGTGGGTTTGAGCCCTGCATCGGGCTCTGTGCTGAACGCTTGCTCGGAGCCTGGAGCCTGCTTCAAGTTCTTTGTCTCCCTCTCTCTCTCTGCCCCTTCCCTGCTCATGTGCTCTCTCTCTTTCTGTCTCTCTCTAAATAAACAAGTAAAAAATACTTCAAAATTTGTCCTAAAGAATAAGTAGTTTTCATAGAAGACAGTTTAATAAAAACAATCACATATAGAGATGTGGGCACAGTTGGGAGAATCAATAAGAGATGTCAAAAGTAGGAAGCCATCACAGCTTTGAGGCCGGAAGGTAGGAGGGGAGGTTGAGGGGTTACCAAAACCCAGCAAGGGCCGTTGCCATGAGAGGGGGAGGTTAGCCGTAGGTAGAGAGACAAAATCCCTGCCACTTGTCTGGTAGGAAGCGAGTGGGGAAGAAAATACCCCAACGTCTCCCTCCTTCTACCCTTCGGATTCCTCCTGATGCCTCCTATTGGCTGAGCCATTTGGCAGGTGGAGGACAAAGGAGCCCAGGTGCCAGGTCCTTAGAGGTCATCCCCTCAGGGCGCACACTTGGCCAGAGAAGGGTGGAAAACAGAGCTGGAGAGACAGTGAGAAAACAACTGGCAGATCCGTCTCTTCATTCATCTGGATGAAGAAAATTCAAGATAAGGGGCGCCTGGGGGCTCAGTCGGTGGAGCATCTGACTTCAGCTCAGGTCGTGATCTCATGGTTCATGGGTTCGAGCCCCAAGTCGGGCTCTGTGCTGACAGCTAGCTCAGAGCCTGGAGCCTGCTTCTGATTCTGTGTCTCCCTCTCTCTCTGACCCTCGCCTGCTCATGCTGTCTCTCTCTCTCTCTCCGAAATAAACAAAAAATTAAAGAAAAGAAAATTCAAGATAAAACAGGAGAAACAAAGTGCTATCAATTTCCATATGTCAGTTCAATCATAGTCTCACTTGGAGCTAAACTGTAATATTAACCACCATCGGTGGTTATTTTCACGTAAGTGCTGTTTTACACAAAAGGAAAGTGGGAGAAGTCCCCACCTCCATAACTGGTCATGGTGCCTTCTCAGAAAATCACTGCAATGTTTCCCCGTTCCATTCTATGAGCCTCTCGGCCTGCATGACTTTTTTCTTTGAACTGGTGAGAGGGACCCAAACTTTCATTCATACTAAGGATCTGCGTTCATTTACTCGTTATTTTATTTGCTCATTCATTTGCCATGGCTTCTCACTGACTGACTATTGTCATAGTGACTATTGTCACTGGGAGCTCTCTGGGATCTGGACATAGCCATCCATGCCTTATTACGTACCGGCAACACAGTTTCCCCTTGGTAATCAGAGCCAACCACCTGCCAGTAGAGTGACCTTCTTCTCTGCTTGTTGGAGAGCAATCTCTGCTTCCAAGTTACTGGCACAGGCCTGTGTGTTTACTGGTGAAAGTATTTCTCCCTTGCCTACCCGGACCTCCCAATTCACTAATCTAAATGTCGTGGGGACGGTATACAAAACTTTGGCAGGTGGATTATTGTACGTAATGGATGGGAGGTCATTCCCACTTCCACTTCTTGGTTTTTAGAAGTGTATTCTGTCTATAAAAGAAATGACCCCAAGTGTTGGCTGGTGATTTAAGACATAGACTGTATCTGGATGAGGCATTTTATGAGTCCGTGGTAGGTCTGCTAGAAGAAGCAAAGCAAGCAAGGAAGGCAGTGTCGTAGCTAGAATAAGGATCTACTCCAGTGAGAGCAAGTAACTGTGACTGTGTGAAAAAAAAGGATCCCATACAATATAACAACATAGCCAATAGGAAGGGCCGGCTAGGGAGTCATGCCATGTGGGGACTCACGGTGGCCTCTGCTGTTGGCACGTTGGACACTCAGCCGTGGTGGTAATCAGATCAAATCTAAGAGATGTAAGAGATGTTTATATTGTTCCAGCCCTGCATGGCCCTCATCTCTGCTACCATCGCCCCTCCATATCTGGTTTCATTATCCAAGTACAGCTGTGACTGGAGAAAGAAGCACCTGACAGTTACACAATGGGTCCAATTCTCCTAGGTGTCTGCCTGATTATTAAGGAAATCCTCTCCACTGAACGCCCCTGGGGTAGGTGGTGGGGAGGGGGGTAGGTGGTGGGGAGGGTTGGCTGCATATATATTCCCAGGCTGCCCATTCCAATAGGTCCATACTGCTATCCTTGTTATTGGTCTTTCGGTCTTGAACTTTTCAGGTCTTTGCCCAACTCTTTTAGGGATTATCCAAAAATCAGTGTGGATTCATGAGTAAGACCATTGGTCATGTAAACCAAAGTTCCACCCATTGGGAGGATCTTTTGGGGGGGGTGGTAAAAAATACTTAACACAAAATGTAGCACTTTAATCATTTTTGTCAGCATGTACTCTGTGATATTAAGTACATTCATGTTGTACAGCCCTCACCACCATCCATCTCCGGAACACCTTCAGCATCCCTAACTGAAACTTTGTACCCAGGAGCAACAAACCCCATTTCCTCAGCGCCCCTGGCCCGGGCAACCACTGTTCTACTTTGGGTCTCTCTGACTGTGGCTGTTCCAGGTACCTCATGTAAATGGTCTCGTACAATGTTTGTCCTTCTGTGTCACTGCTGCTT